GTTCAACAGTGGAATAGTTCAATAATTGAGTCATTAGGTAATTGAGTAATTGAGTAATTGAGTAATTGAGTCATTAAGAAATTGAGTAATTGTCTAATTGAAATATTGAAATACTAAAAAATTGAAAAATTGAAGAATTGAAGAATTGAAAAATTGAAAAATTGAAAATTTGAAGAGTTGAGGAATTGAAGAGTTGGAGAATTGAAGAGTTGAAGAATTGAAGAGTTGGAGAATTGAAGAGTTGAAGAATCGAAGAGTTGGAGAATTGAAGAGTTGAAGAATTGAAGAGTTGGAGAAGTGAAGAGTTGGAGAATCGAAGAGTTGGAAAACTGAAGAGTTGGAGAATTCAAGAGTTGGAGAATTGAGGAATTGGAGAATTGAAGAGTTGGAGAATTGAAGAATTGGAGAATCGAAGAGTTGGAGAACTGAAGAGTTGGAGAATTGAAGAGTTGGAGAATTGAGGAGTTGGAGAATTGAAGAGTTGGAGAAGTGAAGAGTTGGAAAATTGAGGAGTTGGAGAATTGAAGAGTTGGAGAAGTGAAGAGTTGGAGAATCAAAGTGTTGGGAATTGAAGATTTAGAGAATTGAAAAATTGGAATATTGAAAAATTGGAATATTGAAAAATTGAAAAATTGAAAAATTGAAAAATTGAAAAATTGAAAAATCGAAAAATTGAAAAATTGAAAAATAAAATTGAAGAATAGAGCAATACCAGACTTGCAAAATTTAAGAAATTAATAAATTCTAAAGTTTGGACATCGAAAAATATGAGAACTTAAAAACGTGAATATATAAAAACTTGACGACTCAAAAAAAAACTAAAAATGTAAAAATCTACACACATAAAAACATAATATTATTTCAAACAGCTCTCTTTCCACGCACCATAATACCTCAACGATATTACAGACCATTTATATAGTTTATCGATAACATTCCGATAATTCATCGATAACGATATCGATAGTTTCCTTTCCAATTTCCTCCAATAACGCACGATTATTTTCCTCGTAAAAACAAACGCTTCGAAATTCGAAACCGTTCGCTAATAAATTCACTTTCGTGCTTGTACCATGAATAAAATTTTGAACGTCAAGAAACCGCTCGATCGTTTCATAAATTTTCGACGAACGATGTTGTTTTCTCCATTCCCTCAGCGATCGCATTGAACATTCGTAACCTGCCTCCTTTTTCTACGAAGCTCCTTTTTGCATGTAATATTTTCCCCGGATATTTTCCCGTCAAACACGAGTACTTCTTTTTCATTAAATCGAGATCTTCCTCGTTTCGTCCCGTCCTTTTGATTCGCGTCGCCGTCGTTCACGTTCCTTCCCTGGAGACCCCGTTTTTACCAGACATAACCGACACAAAATCATCCAGTTGCTGAACTGAAATTATATAAGAATGAGAGCTTACTCCCGTAAGAAGATTCTGTTCCGATCGATCGAAACGGTCGCTGAAATTTACGGTGAACTGGAATTTATCGGAAATTTCGAACTTTATTGAACACGTGGTATCGAATTGTTCGGTGAACCACCGTTTCCGAGCTCATCAATTGCATGAATCGCACAGAGCTACCTTGCTAAAGGAGTCCACAAAATACATTACATCGAAATAATTTAATATAAATGTTCGATATCCAGTATCAAAATCGGATATTTGTTGCTGGACGAATTGACGTTCCACCACAAAGGGTGGAGGATTAAATCGAACAGTTGAGGTTATTTGCGCAGTTTTCATGGTCATTGAACTTCAATATTAATGGAATATATTTGTTTGAGAAATTATTACAATAGTCAAACCATTATGTTTTTAAAGCTAACTTTTTAGTAATGGCTTAGAAAAATTTTAGTACATTAGGGTTCTTTTATAAAGCTCGAATAAATTGTATCTTGAAAATGGTTACATGTAGAAGGTTTATAAGTTAACATTTTTATTTTTCTATAATGTTAAAATTGAAAATTTTAAGGATATTAAAATATAGATTTATGTAAATATGTATGTGGAATGCAATGTATAAAGTAGTTGACTATATGGCTGTTAACCTAACCTAATTATTATTTGTTCAGTAAGAATAATCAATTTTGTTGTTTCCTTTTTTATTTTGACAAACAGACTCTATATTTTTACTGACCTTTATCTTGCAGTTAAAAGAAATATATTAAGTTTAAGTACTTGTAATTTTTGAGGTTAGCAATAGTCTTTGTAAAATGGTTAATTGTACTTCTATCAACCTAACCTAACTATTTATTCAGTAAGAATAATCATTTTTATTATTTCTTATTTTTATTTTGATGATCAAACTCTATATTTTTACTGACTTTTATCCTGCAGTTAATAGAAATATATTAAGTTTAAGTACTTGTAATTTTTGAGGTTAGCAATAGTCTTTGTAAAATGGTTAATTGTACTTCTATCAACCTAACCTAACTATTTATTCAGTAAGAATAATCATTTTTATTATTTCTTATTTTTATTTTGATGATCAAACTCTATATTTTTACTGACTTTTATCTTGCAGTTAATAAAAATATATTAAGCTTAATTTTGGAAAGCTTTTGAGGTTAGGAGACAGTTAAAAATTTGGTAGGAACCTGGATTTAAGGAAAAACTTGCGACAGCAAGCATTAATTCTAATTAAGAGCTCTTACTTTTTACGTAAAAGATCTACAAGGGAGAAAAAGTGAAGATGAAAGCAGTGAAGACTTTCGAGGGCCAAATTGGAATTTATATTTCAATACAGAACGTAGTTTTAACTTTGAAGAATGATTACAGTTTTTAGCTTCGAAAAAGAATTATATATATTACAAAATATTTCCACTCTAAAATTTGTAATAATTATATTCTTTTTGCATAACTAAATATATTAGTAATTTCACAATAAAATATATCAAATTTATTGAACGTATAATTTGACAATAAACGAATAAGTAAATATTTTAGATAACATATCTAAAAACCTTCTCCATGGAAAAATAGTGTAGTAAGAATAGTATACCAAATATCAATAAAAATTGCTCTTATGAATAAAACAAAATAAATAAAATTGAAGAAGATACATTTCTTTCGTCCTTCGTGTCACAGTAGATTTACGCACGTGACCAGTTCTTGTTTTTGTTTCCGTCGCACATTGCTCAAAGCCATCGAACTAAAATCACCAATCAGCAATCACCATAGCAACTGCATAAATTAATCCATGATGAACGCACGGTGACGCACATCAAGATATCAGCTTCAGAGTTCAACGAGCTCTCGAGAAACCACGACGGTGAAATTATGCGCGTAAACTGCCATGTTTGGTCGAGAAATTGCGTAATGTTCAGAGAAATTTGACTCCTTGCGGAGATTTTTCTCTTGAGACACTTATACTGAACGCAACTTTTTTCGTTTAATTAGGCGTTGCTAAATTTAGCAGATTTTGGTGGTTAAGTATTTAGGAGGGTGGCTGTTTGGAGACGTGGAAGTTTTAATTTTGGAATTTTTGGGGTTTTGGGTTTTCGAGGTTGAAATTTCGAAGGGTGGAATTTTGGGAATTTGAAGATTTGGGGATTTGAGGGTTTGGAAATTTGAGAGGTTCGGAAATTTGAGAGGTTCGGAAATTTGAGAGGGTGGAAATTTGAGAGATTGGAAATTTGAGAGTTTGGAAATTTGAAAGATTGGAAATTTGGAAAATTGGAACTATGAGAGTTTGGAAATTTGAGAGATTGGAAATTTGGAAAATTGGAACTTTGAGAGTTTGGAAATTTGAGAGAGTGGAAATTTGAGAGTTTGGAACCTTGAGAGATTGGAATTTTGAGAGATTGGAACTTTGAGAGGTTGGAAATTTGAAAGATTGGAAATTTGAGAGATTGGAACTTTGGGAGATTGGAAATTTGAGAGATTGGAAATTTGGAAATTTGGAACTTTGAGAGATTGGAAATTTGAGAGAGTGGAAATTTGAGAGTTTGGAATCTTGAGAGATTGGAAATTTGGGAGTTTGGAAATTTGAGAAATTGGAAACTTGAGAGAGTGGAAATTTGAGAGTTTGAAAATTTGAGAGATTGGAACTTTGAGAGTTTGGAAATTTGAGAAATTGGAAATTTGAGAGATCGGAAATTTGAGAACTTAAAGATCTAAAAAACTGGAAGCTTAAAAATACAGAAATAAGCACATAATTATTTCACAAAAGACATTACATTATAACATTTCCAAATAAGTCCAAAAATGATTTTCTCAATAAATGAATACATAAAAAAAATACAATTAAAATCCGCATTATGTATACCAAAGTCATAATGGTTGTTTTAACAGGAAAACTAGTTTAGCATCCTGCATTAACGATTTAACTCGTTAATCGTAACTTTATAATCGTGAACGCTGCAACTTTATATTGACTCAACCGGTAATTAACGTTTCTACTTGCATGGTAGATCATGTTTAACCTTTGATTCTGCCTCAGGTTACACCGGCATAAAATATTTAACTATTGATCGTTAATTTACTGTTACTTCTATATAATGCAAGTGGTAACTATTGTTTCGTTAATTATATTAGTTAAATTATTACAGTGTATCGAACTGTTATTAATATAATATCGTTTCAGAAGAGAATGAGGTTAAGTTAGGCTAGAAATAGCAATTCATCAAATATCTGCAAATAATATATCTTTGAAATAATTAATGTAAACTACACAATTTACATATATGTAAATTTACATTGAAAATGAAGTGTAAAAATTACAGACATTTTGACAAAAGCACAAGGAAATGTAATGTAAATAAACGTCATTATAACTAATATTAATTAGTTCATTTTCTGCTTCATGTATAGAAGAAAATTGTTACTTAAATGTATTTAGATAATGTAAATTTAAGACTGAGAATAAAAAGTAGTAGCACAAGGAATCAGTGTAAAAATAATTGCAAGAATACCCCGAAATCAAGATAATGAAACACAGAGTGTAAAATCCGATTAAGCCGGATTCCAGAGCTGTCCAGTCTAACGACGTTGACCTTTTACAGATTAGAGGGTAAATCCAGGAGCGTCACAATTGAGAAGAGGAAAAGGGAGAAATCGAGGAGGACAGAAAGTGCGGGAAAATGGTTTCGTCGGCCATTTTCGGTGCGGCTGCTGGCACCGGCTTGGCCTTGGTCTTCGCGATGACGATAGTCGTCTATCGATATTACGCCGTGAAACGGAAGGGGAAGTACTGGAGCAATTTAGATCGTTGGCCTGATCCACCATCGACCGCGAAGAAACCGGAAGGTCGTCAGGAGAATTGTCAGCAACACTGTCACGACATGTCGTCGTCGCACGTGTTGAATTGCTGGCGACAACAACAGAGGAATTACTACGCGGTGCAGATTGGGGTGAGTAGAATAAAAATGTACGGGGTGTTTGACAAGAAGAGTTCAATATTTTAATACTTGATTCATCACGAATATATCGACAATGACAGACAATAAAAGATTATTATTTATGAACATTTTGTTCGTCTACATACTTGGTTATTTTTATTTAAACACCGATATGAGTTGCTATATGTACATTAAATAACAAGCATTTTGTCTACGTTGTACGACAAAAAAAGATACAGCTCCTCGTTTATGATGCTGCAAATATTCAGCACAAAATTTCTATATTTTTTCAAAGATACAAATTATAACATGAATTGCAGACCTCTTTCAAAATTACAGAAATTATACAACAAAGTTAATAGGAATTGAGAAATAAAATCATGCTTCGCTTTAAAGATGAAACAGAATTCTTTCATAATAAATTTTTCAAATTACAATACGTTTACTAATACAGTGAACAAACGAACTGCAATATATTGCAATTTATCGTGAAATTAGTTAGACTGTTTGATGATTGAAAGAATAACCCTCAATTACTGATCTACTCGCCTCTGATGAAGTGAACCTACTCACTGTCAACACGCTTCCAGCACAGTTCTAAACTGTGCTGTGTATTTACTAGACTATTTGTATTAGGGTTAATAGCATCCGTCGTTTGTCTCCGTAATTACCTTTAATCTTTACCGAGTACATACACGTATCGCCTTATATTTATTGTTGGCAATCGCGTTATTTTAACGCAAAAATTGAGCCGAACCTTTTAACCTTTTTCGATCGGAAATCGAATATGATTTGATATTCCCTATAGTGTCATGTATGTAATTTATATATCTAGAATTACCACTCGTTGTATCGCCACGTGCAAGATTTTCTCGCGCTATATTATAACGCGTGGGATTGTTACAAGTAGAATTTCCACGCGTTATATCGCCAAGCATGGAATTGTTATAAATAGAATTTCCATGCACTGTATAGCCACGCGTAGACTTGCCTCGCACTATATCGCCACGCGTTGACTTGTCACGCGCTATATTACCACGTGTAGACTTGTTTCGCGTTACATCGCCATGCGTAGACTTGCCACGCGTTATATCGCCATGCGTAGACTTGACACGCGTTATATCGCCACGCGTAGATTTGCCACGCGTTATATTGCCACGCGTTGACTTGCCACGCGTTATATCGCCATGCGTAGACTTGCCACGCGTTATATCGCCATGCGTAGACTTGCCACGCGTTATATCGCCATGCGTAGACTTGCCACGCGTTATATCGCCATGCGTAGACTTGCCACGCGTTATATCGCCATGCGTAGACTTGCCACGCGTTATATCGCCATGCGTAGACTTGCCGCGTAGATTTGCCATGCGTTATATCGCCATGCGTAAACTTGCCACGCGTTATATTGCCACGCGTAGACTTGCCATGCGTTATATCGCCACGCGTTATATCGCCACGCGTAGACTTGCCACGCGTTATATCGCCCTGCGTAGACTTGCTACGGATTATATCGCCACGCGTAGATTTGTCACGTGCTATATCGCTACGCATAGACTTGACTCGCGCTATATCGCCTCGCGTGATATTGCTTCACATATAATTGCTACGCACTATACTACATCACGTGAAAATAATTTATTTTCACCCTATTAAAAAAGTTTATGAAATTTTCTTAATACAAAAAACTTTCTCCATCTTAATGAGAAAACAAGTAGAAGGATCTTCGATCTATCACGAATGCAATGAGATTAATTAAATCGAATTATAGCAATCAATATTCGAACCTGAAATATTCCAAATGAATTATTCAGAGAATATCTCGAATTTGAAGCGGAAATGGTTTAACCTCATATCATTATCGATTCATCAAAGAAAATGCGCCTAACCTTAACTAGTGCCGACCAATTAACACTCACACTGTTCAAATGAAAGGGTATTAAATTACCACGTGGATTCTGTAAGAACATTTCGTTGCATAATGTGCACATCTATTCGGGATTCTATTAGTATCCATTATTAATTGGACAACGTGCTAATTATCTAATGGGAGACAGTAGCTAATTAGCAGCAAATGTATTACTCGTACCAGTGTGTCCTATTTTAGCATCGTTGCTTTATGAAACCAATATGCGAAGCGTCAGAGACAAACCCTTTAATCGAGATCAATCGTTAATAATTGATCCTATTTTAATATTAAATCATTCTGCAACTTTCTTCATTTTTCAAATCAAAGTTTTTAACAATAGCATTATTATAGCTCGCTCGTGCAGAGGTAACTCACGATCGCTCCACTTTTCCCTTCTTTTTTATTTTACAACTTTTTTTAATTGTTTCGCGCAGTTTCTTTTGTCATTGCGATACCCTTGTACTTGCAGTCGAGCAACGAGACACGCTCTGAATCTCAATAAAACCCGACCATAAACTTCTCGACAATATAGCGACACTTTTCATTTATTACGGGAAACACCCTTTTTATGGCACTGCATTGATTTTTGCTTTGGCGAGGGTTGTTAATTATTCAGCTACGCTTTGTTTTTAATATCAAGTTTTGGTCTTCGTTAGGAGACAAATATTCGAACATTAATATAAATTCTTTAATTTATAATTTTTTTAATTTAAATGAATTCAACGAAGTATTAAATATTCAATGAATGATGAGCAACCATTTTGATCTTCGTTAGGAGACAAATATTCGAACATTAATATAAATTCTTTAATTTATAATTTTTTAAATTTATATAAATTCAACGAAGTATTAAATATTCAATGAATGATGAGCAACCATTTTGATCTTCGTTAGGAGACAAATATTCGAACATTAATATAAATTCTTTAAATAATTTTTTAAATTTATATAAATTCAACGAAGTATTAAATATTCAATAAATGATGAGCAACCATTTTGTAATGCCTTCGTCATACTAAGATGTAGATGTTTAGGTTTTAATATTACTGTTTAAATATTTTAAGTGCTATTCGCTTTGAAACTATTATATATGATACTGTTTATAAATTACATTTTTCCTGCAACAATTTTTATCGTAAATTGCTGTAATGTAAATACACATTATTCCTCATATGTATCCGTAATGTGACACTTATTATATGTATATAAAATACGGTGTTTATGATAAACACATTTACCACATGGTATTTATGATATACATTTTTCATAATAGTTTCTGAGGATTTTCCTTGTTTTATCCGGAACTCGCCGACGGCGTGAAATTCAATTTTCCGCGTGCTTGACATTTTCTTCCCGATCGATTTCCTTATTAGATGATAACTCGTAGATTAATTAACCGATTGGGTTTGACTCTGGAATCTGCATTGAGGACACATAATAGAATTTCATAGACAAACTAGCTTCTCTTACCACTCATTGTCTCATTTGTTACATTACTCTATTATTAATTTTATTTTCATTTCATTTTATTATCTTCGGATTAATTTTATTTTCTTTTCATTTTATTATCTTCTCATTAATTTTATCATTCACGTGTCAATTTCATTAATTCTATTATAATTTATATAATTTCGTTATTTTTATTATTCGAGTATTATTTGCATTATCCTCTCGTTAATTTTATTACATATTAATTGTATTTACTCGCATTAATTTATTATGCATTTATTTTATTGTACATTAATTTTGTTATACTTTTTACTCTTCCAATGATATTCCCTGCATCAACGAGATACGCTATAGTGTTCAAATTATTCTGAAGACATAATCTGCATTTTCGGACCCAAAAAATATATTTCAAGCACCCCAAACTCAATATTAATAAATATATAATAAATATATAGCTTATTAATCATTAAAATCAATGTTAATTAAGTTTAAAAAAAAAAATGGAACAAGTGGCGCCATCTCTTCAACGAACAGGGTGAACTACACACTTTTGAAACTCTACTTTGATTAGTTCCCGTCTTCTACCGCTAGGTGGCGACACAAGACAGAAATGGCGCCGTCTAGCGGCAGTGCGTTGAACTAATGAAACTACTGTTTCAAAACCGTGTAGTTCAACCTGTTCGCCGGAGAGATGGCGCCACTTGTTCCATTTTCGAAAAAGCCTAATTAATATTGATTTTATTGATTAATAACAAATATCTATCATTACTTTCAATTTTAATATCAAATATTGAAGGTTCCCTGGTGTAAAATCAGTTTCTATCGATATATTACCTCTGAAATTCTTCCTTATCCACAGATACTATTTCGGTACAAAATGCGTGGATAACTGGTAATGGGCGAAACTTTGGAAATTTCAAGAAATCGATTGCCTTCTGTAGCTTGCCTTCGCAGTTTATTTACTGTTTTCTTAAATGCAGAACATATATATAAATTTTTCAGATTGCAAACTTTTCTGTTTCCCAAATTTTTCAATTTCTAAGACTTGCAACTTTTGACATCCTTCATTTCTAAATTTCTTAATTATCTAGTTTCTAAATTTATAAATTACCAAATTACCAAATTCCCAAATTACCAAATTACCAAATTACCAAATTACCAAATTCCCAAATTTATAAATTTCAACTTCTCAAAGTTCCAAACTCTCAAACTTCAAATTTCTTCATTCCTAAATTTCCAAATTTTCCATTGTTCAAATTTCCAAACTGCTAAGTTTCCAAATTGTCAACTTTCCAAAGTGCCAAATTTTTAATTCTCAATATCCCAACATCCAAAATTCTAAAATTCCCAAATTTATAAATTCCAACTTCTCAAAGTTCCAACCTCTCAAACTTCAAATTTCTTCATTCCTAAATTACTAAATTTCCAAATTTTCCATTGTCCAAACTGCTAAGTTTCCAAATTGTCAACTTTCCAAAGTGCCAAATTTTTAATTCTCAATATCCCAACATCCAAAATTCTAAAATTCCCAAATTTATAAATTCCAACTTCTCTTTGCAACTTCTCGTTGCAAAGTTCCAAAGTCTCAAATTTCTTCATTCCTAAATTACTAAATTTCCAAATTTTCCATTGTACAAATTTCCAAACTGCTAAGTTT